TCATCAGCACCACCATCATAATCACCAGCATCCCCATCACGATCACCAGTATCAGAATCACCATCTTTACCACCAAATTAATCATCCGCTGCATCCTGATCCCCTCATAATCATCGTCATCATCATCATCAGCAGCAGCATCATCACCAGCATGAGCAATACCCTCATCATCAGCAGCATCACAAGCAGCATCACCAGCAGCCTCACCAGCAAAGTCATCATCATCATCCGAATCAGCATCATCACCATCATCATCACCACGATGACAATCATAGTGAGCATCATCCTCAGCAGCAGCAGGATGATCACCATCATCATCAGCAGCAGCATCATCATCGTCGTCATCATCACCACCACCACCACCATCATCATCATCATCATGACCACCACCATAACAATCACCGTCATCGTTACTGGCATCACTATGATCTGCATCAGAACTATCATCATCCCCATCATCATCATCATCATCATCATCATCATCATCATCATCATCATCATCATCATCATCATCACCATCCTCATCACCACCTCCGCCATCATCATCACCATCACCACCGTCATCATCATCAACATCATCATCATCATCATCATCGTCGTCGTCGTCATCATCCTCATCATCGTCAGGAGCATCACCATGGCCCTCCCCCTCCTCCTCCTCCTCATCCTCCTCCTCCTCCTCCTCCTCCTCCTCCTCCTCCTCCTCCTCCTCTTCCTCCTTCTCCGCCTCCGCCTCCTAGCTTCCTCCATCCCTCCCCTCCTTCCCAGGAGCCGCTGGAGCCGCCCTCTCCGAGGGGGGGGCCTGCAGCGGCATGGGCACCGGCGCCGAGGCCACGAAAGCGCCAGCGCCGACCTGGCAGGAGGGTGGGCTCTCGCAGACGGGGGGGGGCAGGCTCCCGCAGAGTTGCTTGACACCCGCAAGCTGGTGGGGGGCCTGCCTCCTCGCCTCGTCAAAAACAAAAAACGGCACGACGTTCCAGTCGAGGCGCTCGTCGGGTCGGACCCTCGTCAGAAGCCGCGCGGTCCGATGCTGCGAGGGCACTGCCGGATTCTCGACAGCCCTGCGGGGGGGACCAGATGCCTCGTGCCAGCACTGGGATAGCGCCGACCACATGAGCACCGAAAGCAAGCACCCTCAGCTTATTTTTGGCGAGTCTTGCAGGAAGCACCCCACGAACGTTGGGTCGGGCATGTTCCCCTACAGGCGGATTTTGGACGACAGATAGAAAATAGAATATTCAAACATAGTCCCAAAGTACTCACGTAAGACGAACGCCAGAGCTCAACAGGGGCACGGCGGAGAGCCTCCTCGCGCCTCACCCTGCCCTCGTCGCAAGCCGCTACGGCCGACGGGGTCCGCCGCCTTGGATGCGGGCCCATCCGGATCCGAGCCCAGGCCTCGCGGACCTTGCGAGTCTCCCCCCGGCAAGCCCACGCGAGGTTGCGGGGGTCGACCGTGGCGGCGGGACGAAGGCTCGGAAACGTCGTGTTAAGAAGCAGCTCCTTGGAGGCTTCGTAAGAACGATTAGAAGCCACGAAGCCCGATCAAAGGGCCACTATGCTGGATCAGGCCGGATGGAACGGCACAGTGCCTCAACTTGCTAGTTTTCGACCACGGATTTGCCAGCACCGATGATGAGTGCAATGTCCTAGGAG